AGCAAAAATCCCCATTGATAGCAACGCAACGGCGCCGAGATGTTGGCATGTTTGGCGCCTGTCTTGGGCAGCTTGCTGGTTGCGTCAAGTGTGTGAAAGCTCAGACGTTGCTGGTTGTGGTGCGAAGATGGAGTGATTTTCTTTAGCAACTTAAAGATATCAATGGATATTTTTTGGGACCCTAAAATAGAGGTACTGTACTATAAAAACGGTACCAATGGCCATTGAGGATAGTTTTGGAAGTTGATGTTCTTCTTGCATTCGAGGCCATTTTGGGGCTTCATGTTGAATGCTTCAGGGGTCTTCCACAACAAACTGCTCTCGAAATGAGGCAAAACTAAAAATCTGCTAGGCCGCTTTGAGTTTGGGTGGTGGAAGGGAACCCATCAGCCATATCATGGGACATGTCGACCATTCTGGTCGTTGTTGTTTGGAACGTGAACTGCAGGCCAACAACTTTCATTGGGGATATCAACTCCTAGTGATGCGGCGAAGGTCTTTCTCAATTTGCGCGGTTCCAAGGATCAAAATCTACGAATGTCCCGATCAGCGGAAATATCGGCGCACACTATATACCTCAATTGGAAGATGATAAAAAGGGATTCTATTGATTCTATTGCCTAGCTACGGGGACTATGACCCATGATGGGAAAGCTGACCATAAAGTTTCTGCTGTTTGGATGTTTCAACCGACCTGGATCACCAAGTCGGGTTGGAGAATGTTGGAGATGATGTTGGATATTTTCCCATGATGGGAAAACCTATGGAAATGTCTATTAAATATCCATGAAATACCATATTATTTTCTGGTTGGTGGTTTGGAACCATGGATTTTATGACTGTCCATTCAGTTGGGAATGGAATGTCATCATCCCAACTGACTTTCACTCCATCATTTTTCAGAGGGGTAGCGAAAAACCACCAACCAGTATTGGATAATGTGTCCACAATACTTGAGGATAGTCATAATAATTCCCCCTGTGGCCAGAAGATATGGAGACGTCTTTGATTTCCACGCCAGAGTAGACTACATAAATTTCTTCGCGGTGTTCGCTGCCAGGGAAAGTCATGTAGATGTGGAAAACCCATGAAAAGTATTGGGTTAATCATGGTTACTGGGGTATTTAATGGTTAATGGGATATTTAATGATACAGTATAATCTCTGGTATTGACTTTTGTGGATTGCCTTTACAGCTTGCAATTGCATAAAGTTTTAGCTTCATAAAATATCATAGTGTAAGACAAATGGACATGCTTCCCGGTGTTCATGAAATGATAAAGGCTCTTCCGATCCATTTTAAGTGATGAATGTCCATCTCCTAATATGACCTAGTAGAGGGTTCACGGTAAATGGATACGGATAAGATTGGAGGGCATGGATCATTCAATACTATACCCAGTTATTCAAAACATTTTAAGACAATGTGACACACTAACATATTGATAATGAATATAAATAAATTATCTATTACCAGCTTAGACTTTTCAAAAGATCAATGGATTGGTTTAAGGAATAAATTACTGGAAGCCGACATATTAGCTGGAAAAATATGCATGGCTGTAACATTTCCACTGTAAATCAATCGATTCACATGCAGATTTTTGCCAGTTAAACCACCATTTTGTTGAATCCCAGTCTATATTGGTGAAGAAATCCCATGAAATCACCAAGAAACCCCATGAAATCACCACTACATCTCATCAGAAAAATCTCCCAAATCCTATAAAATCCTCATGCCCAACCCCAATTTCTTGTGGACATGGCGAGTGCCTGCTGTGTAAAGCAACGCTCCTCGCGTGAATGGTTTTTTTTGGCTCCAGCATTGGCTCGGCTACACCGCGTCGTTCAGGTGTCTTGGATACGTTTTTTCCAATAGATAGCGTTCAGTTGGTGAATGTAACTCCAATAACTATAGTTTATGGTACTTATAACGAACTAGTTGCTGGGTTTTTTTCAACCAACTTATAACTGGGGGGGGCCACATTGTATCAATATCATATCTATCAATATCCATTACTACTAACTGTTAACTATTTATCTTATCTATATTGCTATATTGATAGGATTGAGATGGATCAACTATAGATATTGATTTAAACATATATTGATAATTTGGTTAGCAGTTTTTTTGTGAAATTGTTGCAAATGTGATTGGATCAAAACTACGAACCTATCTATTTGTCTATCTGTCTATCTATCTGTCTATCTATCAGTCTATCTTTCTGCTTGTCTATCTATAGTCACTAATTTTGACCCACAATACAATTGTAGTTTTCTACTCTACAAGATGTAAGATTTTCATAGATATGGTATGGCATTAACCAATTTCATTTCAAAAACACATCGGCCTCACCAGGGCTGCTTTATATTTATATACTCCTCGTAAATTCATTGGTGAAGGGTGGACATGGTTCAATTTCTAGCCATGTTGATACACATATATTACCCACCTAAATATTAAGTATTTACATGGGGTAATAAGTAATTGATGGCTTAATATTAAGTATTTACATATATTTACCTTAGGGGTATCTAAGATTAGCCTTGATCATGGTTAATCGGATGTACGGATGGCTTCGACTTTAGATACTTGAGCATTTCCCGGGGCCAATCCACTGATCTTTAGATACTTACTTAATATCGGATTATCGGGATGACCACGAAAGGATGGTTTTATAGCTACCTCCTGAGTCTACTGAGACCTACAGTATATTCAACTGAGGATTTCCAGTATATGTGGAAGCAGTGTGAATATGTATATGATTTATACATCATATATATATATATACACCATATACATATATATTTCATATAATATATATATATATATATGTATCATATGTATTTATATAATTAATATATAATATGTATAATGTTTATATAATTGATATATATAATATAATATATATTATAATATGAATATATAATATATTATATAATAGAATATAATATCATATAATATACTATATAATATAATATATAATATAATATAATATAATATATAATATAATTTAATAGAATATAATATGATATAATATAATATAGTATATTATAATATAATATAATATATTATAATATAATATAATATATATGTAATATATATATATATATGTAATATATATGTAATATATATGTAATATATATACATATATATATATATGTGTGTAATATATAATATAATATAATATAATATAATATAATATAATATAATATAATATAATATAATATAATATATTATGATATAATATAATATAATATGATATAATATAATATATATATATATATAAATGTATTTAATATAATATAATAATAATATAATTTAATATAACATATATATAAAAATATTTAATATAATATAATAATATATATATACATATATTTAATATAATATATATATATATATATGTATAATATATCATTTAATGTAATATAATATCATATAATTAATATAACATATAATATAATATAATATAATATAATTTAATATAATATAATATAATATAATATAATAATATATATATATATATAATATAATATAACATTAATATAATATAATAAAATATTATATAATATAATCTATATACATATTATTATATATATATATTATCATATATATATATATCATACATATGATATATATATATTATCTATCTACTACATTGATAAACCCCTGTAATGCATATAATATAAATCAGGATTCTGGGCCCTGGGTTTTAATTTTTTTAGGGTTTCTGGGTGTTAAATTTGGTTTTTGAATGGTGCAGGATACATATCAAAACGGTGTTGGCTCAGCACTATTCGTTAGTGGTGTTTTATCCAATTCTGCTCTGGTTTACATATGCGTGGTTTATTCAGGCTAACCCCGTCCAGGTCGGCCCAGCTCCGCCTAAGTCTGCCCAGGTCAATCCCAGGTTCTCCCAGGTTCTCCCAGGAAATTAGTGATTTCCTGTGAGTTTGTGGGGTTTCCGGGATTTCCTGGGAGAACCTGGGTGCAAACAGTTGGGGTTGGGCCTGGGAGAGCTGCAAGAGTTAGTTCGGGGAAAAGTGGCTGGAGGGCGGCCCGGTTTTTTGGACCCACAATTTCTAAATTTCTGCCGCAGGCGTTGCCGCCCCCTTTGGCCTGCAGGTTTGCCACGCTTTAAAGTTTAGTTATGAGCATTACAGGGGTATAGCAATATATACACATCATATTTACACATTATATACCTTTAAACATCAAAACATAGATGAGATAGGATTGGATTAGATAGAAATGGATTCGCCAAAGCAACCCCTGAAATTGAGTTACACCATGGCAAATCCCAAAAGATAGAAGTTTTTTATATTTCAATATAGGATTTGCCATATTATAATATTACAATATTGGATCAACATATATTAGAACACGGTATTTCGAGGTTTTTAACCTTTCTATTTCTTGAAGGTTGCGACCATGAGAGAGTGACCAAATTTCATGAGTTCTTGTTTCGCTGGTGAAGATACCTTGCGCAGGAGATGGTTGCAAGATCAAGTTAGATCAAACCTGTGCAGGTTATCTTCAAGTCTTCAATATATCTTTTGTTGATCTATCAGTATCAATCTAAAGTTGGATACTAATTCCATCTAAATCCAAGTCTACCTATCATTTTTTTGTTGACCTATCAATATGTCTAATGAGACCTGGAGATTATGTATCTTTTTCTGATATCAATGCAGGGCTTAAGCTGCACATCAAGTTCATATCCACCTCACAAAACAAGGGCCGACTTGCAGTCCGACTGTCTGGTCCATAGTGGTTGCTTTTCTCCCACATTTTTCTGGTTTCTACTCACCAAATTTTCTTTTGCTTGAAAACCTATATATATATATACATATACGCATACATACATAAATATATACATATATGTATATGTATATATATATATATATACAGATATCTATACATAGGAAGTGCGATGCCATGGCACGCACGCGTCACGGCGTCCCTTCCGCCCTTCCTGGCTCAGGTCCCGTTCCACGATGTCCTTCCGCGAGGACACGCGAGAAGTGTGCATGGGCTGCTCAGGTGCGCGATCCAAACGTAAGAAAGTGGTTTTATGGGACTATAAATCATATAGTTTATGGATGTTTATGGGACTGAAACACCCCATGAAACGAATCTTTTAAAGATGGTTTTATGGGGGTTTTAAGTATCAAAGATATGGAGGTCATCACTTAGACACAGATTGGTGGGTGATGTTTTGACGCATGAAAGATACGGGGATAGAGTTGGTAATGATGATTGATGGGTTGCCCTTTGGTAAACTTTCACAAAACTATAGAAAATCACCATTTTGAATAGGTAAATCAACTATTTCTATGGGGTATTTTCAATAGCTATGTTAAATTACCAGAGGGTAATATAAGGGAATATACTAAGTGGCTTGTTGGGATTGTGAACTAGCCATGAATAGGAAGACTTACTAACCGACTAGTGATAGAATTTAACGATTTACAATGGGATTCACCAGCCAATTCTACAAGGGATTTCATTTGATATAGTTGAGATGTAAGCAATTTATTGAGGGATATCCCAATTTGTTCCAATATATTCTATCAGGAATATTGAGGAATATTGATTGCAAATTTGCAGGGTATCTAAGATTAGCTTTGTAAAACTATACTGACATGCCCTCTGGAAATGGGGCATGACACCAAAATGGCCGTTGAAGTGCGGATATCATTCTAAATTATACACCACTCGAATTAGGGGTACTCAATTGTCAGATAAACCCGTTTGCATGATAATTTACTGTACAGAAACCGGCAAGAAATTGCGGTTCAATCTTCAACCAGAAAGAATTATGGGATTTGCTGTAAGCGTCAACATGATGATTTAACCTCCAAGAAATGGCGATGTAAACTTCAACCAGAATCACTTGGGGACTGTAAACATCACATATGGTGATTTAACCGGCAAAATTTGGTTGAAATATTTTTGAAGTTGGGCTGAAACCTGAAGACCCTTACAATTCTATGAGTTCGTGCTGCAGCAATGAAGAAACCACCCATCAACTTATGGTTCCACACAGTATTGATCAAAGGAATGGCCGGACGATATGGCGGCTGCAATGTTCCATCCATGTCCTGCTAATCAAAGATATAGTTATATATACACTGTATATGCAGATATATGTAGATATGAGTATATATATATATCATATCATATAGTATGATCCATCGAACTACCAATTCTTGCTGATTTGTGGCTTCGGGGACCCAATTTCAAAGCCTAATGGAAATTGCTATGAATCAATAAACACAATGTCAATGAGTTTTCCAGCCCGCCCGCTTAGATTCCCAGAGAGTCTATCAGAGTCTATCCACCCCGATTGTTTTAAGATTTTTAAGGGACCGAAATCCCGATTTACCCAGGTAAATTATAACGACCTCACCGCGACCGAACCCTGGAATCATGGTTAATAAGGGAAATTATCCCCAAATGGCCTTAATTCAGGTTATAATAGTGAAATATTGTATACCCAGAACTTATCTATAATTTAACTTAACATTGAATCTGGTATTTGGCGTCTAAGGTCTAAGATAGTGGGATAGTTGATCAAATATATGGTACAAACATAGATTAAATGAACATGTGAAGCAAAATAGTCATTCCCACACTGGGGGATAGTCATCAATCTATTTTATGTTTGTTTTTTCCAGATACAGTATTTTTTGTATTCCAACGATGGGATGAAAGTGGATATTTCCGTCATTGGTTTCAATGGGGATATCCTATCAGCACCCTCTGGTAAACTAACATAGCTATTGAAAATGGCCATTTATAGTGGATTTTCCCATGAAAAATTGTGGTTTTCATTGATTTTCCATAGTTATGTTAGTTTACCAGAGGGTATCCTATCAGTAGGTCAAAACCATGGTTACTAAGCACGGATCCTAGCTGGGATGCAACCCCACCTTGGATTGGTATACCCAATAGTCACCTGGTTGAATAGTAGATATAATATGTAAATATCATTCATAGCAGGTAGTTTACCCTCTGGTGAACTAACATAGCTATGTTTTTTTTTTTAAATTTAGTTCGTTGGTTTAGCTATGTAACATGGCGATTTTCCATAGCTCCAGAGGCTAAATTAATGGAGTAAACCTATACCTGTTCAACCAACGCGAGGCAAACAGCTGCCCCTGGACAGCTTGGGCCTTGAGGGCCACTGGAAGGTTGATGGACATGTGCTTACTTTCGCATCACATAAGATAGTTCAATTTATTTTCTAACTATATATATAACTATATATATACCGTATTTATTATGGTAAATATATATATATATATATGGTATGTATATATATATATGGTATATATATACATATGTATATGGTATTCTATAGATATGATGTACTGTAGACATATAATCTATGTTATACTTAGTTTGGAACATTACGTATGAATACCAGCGATAGTTTTGGTTTTACAGCGATTGTTCTTTTGGAAATTTGATGGGGATCTGTACTGCCCAGCTATGTTCCATGGGTCGTTTTGTGCTGCAGACATTTGAGCTCTTGCCTCGAGAAGCATTGTGAGATGAAACTGTCATGAAAGTTCTTTTCACATCATGGTCTGTGGGTGCCTCCACAGTTCCAGGGTTTGACAACTTTCCGAAAGTGAAGCATATGATAATCAATATATAATCAATATATAGGGTTGACCATTTTAAGAACAACCCAAGGCTTTTCAGAAAAATTCCAATCCGTCAACCGAGGTCTTTAGTTTGACCTTGGAAGACCGAGCCTTGATGAAGCCTAAGTGAAACATAGATGAAATTCTTGCCATAGATGAGGGCACGTCATAACCAGCTAAAAAGGTATCAATCACTTGTTGCAGGAGAAAAATACATGAATAATCATGAATATTTGATCCTGGTATCATTCCCATCTAAGGGCCACAATTCTTGAATGATGGGCACTCCTTGTCTCTAAGAGTTCTCTAAACATATCGCGCATGTCAACGGCGGATACCAATCAGATGCTAATTTTATCAGAAACATATTCCGCTGAACCAGTGCCTGAAATCAGGGCAACGACTGTTGTTGCAGCCAACAGTCCCTCGGTCCGGCACCTGAAAATGTCGCCATGGAGGTGCGCTTCTTAGCATCTGGCGAGGTGCTAACGGCTCTTGATCAAGATGACTTCGAGGGCAAAACTGCCAGAGAAGTGAAGCAAACTTTGGCAGCTCATGCTGGGGTCTCCAGATTTCGGCAAAGACTCTTCGCGGGAGATGGTTTTCGCGAGATTCAAGATGATGAGGTTTTTGGATCTGCTCCTGTGAAAGTCCACTTATTAATGTTGGAGTTCTTGCCATCAGATGCTGCAGAGGACGAACGTATGATTTCTGCATGCCGGAAAAACATTTCAGCCCAAGTGGAAGAGTTTCTTCAAGGTCCTCGAAATCCGAACCTAAAAGGTCGGCATTTGTCAAAACTATTTACACCCCCAAAAGTGGTAAGATAAGCATGACAATGTTTCTTTATGTTTCTTTTTAATCTTGCGATATCTTGTGTGTTTTTCCTTTCCAGTTTTGGCTGTAAGGCCCAAAACGCCAGGGTGAAATGGCCCCGCAGGTGAAAATGCAGAGACATCTCCTCAGCCCCTCCACCATGCAGCATTGAGGGGACATGTCGAACCCATGCGCCTACTGCTTGAGGCAGGTGCAGACAAAAATGCCGCAAACATCAGACGGGGGATGTCGCCAATGCATCTTGCAGCTGCAAGGGGTCATCTTGAGGTCGTCCGCTTTCTGGTTGAAGTTGGGGCTGACCAGGACCAGACTAGTGATGCTGGTGTAGTACCATTGCACGTCGCTGCGTTAAAGGGTCACGTTGAGATTGTCCGTTTTCTGATTGAATTGGGGGCGAACAAGGATCAGCTGACAGCGGATAATGGGAAAACGCCATTACATTATGCAGCTCTGAAAGGCCATCTCGACGTCGTCCGCTTTCTGGTTGAAGTCGGGGCCAACAAGGATCAACCGACAGCGAATGATGGGTCTACACCACTACATTATGCAGCTCAAGAAGGCCATCTTGACATCGTGCGCTTTCTGGTCGAAGTCGGGGCCAACGAGGATCAACGGACAGCGAATGATGGGTCTACACCACTACATCATGCAGCTGAAGGAGGCCATCTTGACATTGTGCGCTTTCTGGTTGAAGTTGGGGCCGCAAAGGACACGGTCAAGAATACAGGGCCAACGTCACTGCATTTCGCAGTACTGTGTGGCCATCTTGACATTGTCAGCTTTCTGGTTGAAGCCGGGGCCAACGCCGATCAGCCGTTAACGCACAATGGCTCAACACCACTACGTACATATTGCTGCTGAACAAGGCCGTCTTGAAATTGTGCGCTTTCTGGTTGAAGCTGGGGCCGCAAAGGACACGGTCAAGAATACAGGGCCAACATCACTGCATATGGCAGCACTGAATGGTCATCTTGACATTGTCCGCTTTCTGGTTGAAGCCGGGGCCAACAAGAATGAGCCGGCAAAGGATGACGGGTCAACACCACTCCATTACGCAGCTCAAGAAGGCCATCTTGACATTGTGCGCTTTTTGGTCGAAGTCGGGGCCAACAAGGGTCAGCCGACAAGGGATGAAGGGTCAACATCACTACATTATGCAGCTCAAGAAGGCCATCTTGACATCGTGCGCTTTCTGGTTGAAGCCGGAGCCAACAAGGATCAGCCCACAACTGATGATGGGTCAACGCCACTCCATTATGCAGCTCAAGAAGGCCATCTTGATATCGTCCGCTTTCTGGCTGAAGCCGGGGCCGACAAGGACCAGCCGACAACGGATGATGGGTCAACGCCACTCCACTATGCAGCCCAAAAAGGCCATCTTGACATCTTGCGCTTTCTGGCTGAAGCCGGGGCCAACAAGGACCAGCCGACAACGGATGATGGGTCAACGCCACTCCATTCTGCAGCTCAAGAAGGCCATCTTGACATCTTGCGCTTTCTGGTTGAAGCCGGGGCCAGCAAGGACCAGCCGACAACGGATGATGGGTCAACGCCACTCCATTATGCAGCTCAAAAAGGCTATGTGGACATCGTGCACTTTCTGGTTGAAGCCGGGGCCAACAAGGACCAGCCGACAACGGATGTTGGGTCAACGCCACTCCATTATGCAGCTCAAAAAGGCCGTCTTGACATCGTCCGCATTCTGGTTGAAGCCGGGGCCAACAAGGATCAGCCGACCACAGATGATGGGTCAACGCCACTCCATTATGCAGCTCAAGAAGGCTATCTGGACATCGTGCGCTTTCTGGTTGAAGCCGGGGCCAACAAGGATCAGCCGGCAACGGATGATGGGTCTACACCACTACATGATGCAGTTCAAAAAGGCCATCTTGATATCGTCCGCTTTCTGGCTGAAGCCTGGGCCAACAAGGACCAGCCGACAACGGATGATGGGTCAACGCCACTCCACTATGCAGCTCAAAAAGGCTATCTTGACATCGTCCGCTTTCTGGTTGAAGCCGGGGCCAACAAGGATCAGCCGGCAACGGATGATGGGTCAACGCCACTCCACTATGCAGCTCAAGAAGGCCATCTGGACATCGTGCGCTTTCTGGTTGAAGCCGGGGCCGACAAGGACCAGCCGACAACGGATGATGGGTCAACGCCACTCCATTATGCAGCTCAAGAAGGCCATCTTGACATCTTGCGCTTTCTGGCTGAAGCCGGGGCCAACAAGGATCAGCCGACAACGAATGATGGGTCAACGCCACTCCACTATGCAGCTCAAGAAGGCCATCTTGACATCGTGCGCTTTCTGGTTGAAGCCGGGGCCAACAAGGATCAGCCGACAACGGATGATGGGTCAACGCCACTCCACTATGCAGCTCAAAAAGGCCATCTTGACATCGTGCGCTTTCTGGTCGAAGTCGGGGCCAACAAGGATCAGCCGACAACGGATGATGGCTCAACGCCACTCCAGTATGCAGCTCAAAAAGGCCATCTTGATATCGTCCGCTTTCTGGTCGAAGTCGGGGCCAACAAGGATCAGCCGACAACGGATGATGGCTCAACGCCACTCCACTATGCAGCTCAAAAAGGCCATCTTGATATCGTCCGCTTTCTGGTCGAAGTCGGGGCCAACAAGGATCAGCCGACAACGGATGATGGGTCAACGCCACTCCACTATGCAGCTCAAAAAGGCCATCTTGGTATTGTCCGCTTTCTGGTCGAAGTCGGGGCCAACAAGGATCAGCCGACAACGGATGATGGGTCAACGCCACTCCACTATGCAGCTCAAAAAGGCCATCTTGATATCGTCCGCTTTCTGGTCGAAGTCGGGGCCAACAAGGATCAGCCGACAACGGATGATGGGTCAACGCCACTCCACTATGCAGCTCAAAAAGGCCATCTTGATATCGTCCGCTTTCTGGTCGAAGTCGGGGCCAACAAGGATCAGCCGACAACGGATGATGGGTCAACGCCACTCCACTATGCAGCTCAAGAAGGCCATCTTGATATCGTCCGCTTTCTGGTCGAAGTCGGGGCCAACAAGGATCAGCCGACAACGGATGATGGGTCAACGCCACTCCACTATGCAGCTCAAGAAGGCCATCTTGATATCGTCCGCTTTCTGGCCGAAGTCGGGGCCAACAAGGATCAGCCGACAACGGATGATGGGTCAACGCCACTCCACTATGCAGCTCAAGAAGGCCATCTTGACATCGTGCGCTTTCTGGTTGAAGCCGGGGCCAACAAGGATCAACCGACAACTGAAGATGAGTCAACACCCTTGCAGCTTGCAGTGGAACAGGGGCACCTTGCTGTTGTTCGGTTTCTGGTTGAGTCTGGTGCGGACATTGACAGAACCACCCAGAGTGGAAAGACTGCCTTAGATGTGGCATTGGAACATGGCCATCAGGAAATTGGTGGCTTCCTGGCATCATTGCAGGCCAAAGAGCCCCCCAGGAAGATTCGGAGAAGAGACATGCACTGATGTCTGGCGAAAGGGGGTTCAGAAGGTCATCTATTGGGATTTCTGCCCCATTCTAAGAACTGGATGATCGGAAAACTTACGGGAATTCCTTCGAATGTTGCTAAAGCAGTAGTAAACCATACTTAACTTTACCATAAATGGTAGAAACTCTACTAGAAACTACTAGAAACCATCAATTTGGATGATTTGGTCTTGCTTTACTGACCTTGAAGTGTCAAAATCCATGTTTTTTCATGGTTTTTCCTGGTTCTTTACTCCGCCTCCGCGTCCAAGGCGAGGACTCCGAGGGTCCTTTGTCGCATGCTCCGAGTTCAAGTGCCTCTGCGGGTGAAACATATGGTGATACCAGACGTGTTTCACTGGATGGGTGTGAAACTATAGGTTATTATTTTCCCAACATATCCCAACTATAGTTGAACAAACTCTTAAAACACACTCTTAAAACCATAATAATAATAATAATAAGTTAATGGATGTTAATGCCATGGTTGATGGTGGTGAATGGTGGCTAATACTGGACTATGCTCAGATTATTCTTTGGGGTTATGTATTATCCTATCAATATCAGGTTCTCAAAAAAAAAACAAGAATGGTCCCACACCAGCTAAGCGCAGAACAACATTTAGAGACATTCCTCACTCTCGAAGAATTGCGTGTAGTAAGTATACTATATATATATATATTTATATATATATATATATACAAAGGCAGTTGTTGCCTGAGTTTATTGAAGAGCCCGAAAAGTGTTGTGCCAAGAAGGAATGCAGCAGATTGAGCACAGGGATTCTGTATACGAATAATCACCCCGCGGACTTTCTAACGCAATGGAATTTCACAACATCCAGGTCAAAATAAAATAGGTTACACATACACATGCTTTATAACCACAATCCCAGTCCCCACCAATCCTTCCACAACGATCTAGAAATGCCCGCCCCCAAACATGTATCAATGCGGAGTGTCAGAAAAATATGGGGGACTTCGCAACCAAAATCATGGACCCATGAAGCATCAAAATCAGCCCCATGGTCGACCAAAGTATCGCCGCGCATTGTCCCAGGATATTTTTCCCAGAAATCTCACTGGGGCGCCATCGCCCTGATCTCCGGGGTGCTGCTGTGCGTGACCTATGCAGGCCTCTCTGCAGGGCACCTGGTGCCTCGACCTCAGGAACTCCTGCGAAATACGGAGGAAACGCTATGGGCCAACAACCCAGGCGCCCAGGGACCTGTGTCTGGGGAATTTAGCTGAGCAAAAATATGGAGATTTTGGACATAGTTTGACTTGAACAGCTATTAGGGATTGTATTGGGATTGTCATGGGATATATACTGTATATATATAATTATATATATATAAATGGTTATTGCACCACCAACCAGATCTACCTATTAATATAAATAAATCATGGTAGTTTCCAATCCATGGGGGTAGCCCCAGTTATCCAGCGAGCGGTACGGGGTCCGGTGAGTTGTGGGGCTGGTTTGGATCTCAGAAAACACCGGGGATTTTCTGCATTTTACTAGGGAAAATGGATGAACATGGTGGTTTTACTCGGGAAAATGAGGTAAATCAAGTAAATCAACTATTTCGATTGGGCCATTTTCAAGTTCGCAAACTGTTAGTTTACCAGAGGGTACACAAGGTACGTCATCAACTTTCAACGTTGATTTTCCAGCATGCCGTGTTGAATTGCCAGAGTGTATGATCATTTGCCTAAATTATAACCTGATCATTGTAATATGTTGTGCTATGCCATGTTGTGTTGTGTTGTGTTGTGTTGTGCAGTGTTATGATATGTTATGTTTGTTAGTTTATGTTTATCCATTGATGCATTGTAACTATTACCTTCCGGTAATCAAAACATTGTATTGGACAGGACAGTTCACCATTTATAATATACATGATTTTCCCACTATATAAGGGAATTCAAATTGCCAGGTTTGGTTACTGGAGGGTAGATACTATTAGTTATTCTGGTCTAGTGATGAAAACTAACTTTTATGGTCCTAAACCTAAACCAACTTCGCTGGACATGGGAACCACAGATGAAGCGGTCATGTTTGGACCATTTTTTGAGGCTCAATTCCTGAGTTCATGGATTGGTTTGAGGGAAAAACTGCAGGGTCCATTGCTTTTTACTTTCAAATATCAAGGGGTTCCTGTGAGTTTTCCCGGTATTCAATTCTGAGACTGAGTCTTCGGTGAGTTGCAACTGGTGCCATTGGGTGCCCACGAATTTTGACTCACAGCCGTGTTGGGGTACCCCGGGTACCCCAAGACCTTTTCTCAAACAGTTCGAATTGACCTTAAGTTAGGAGGACTTTGAGGTCCCCCCAACTCCCAACTTTCAGAAACCCTCAGATGGAGGTTTCCAATCCATGGGTGTACCGGTGTACCCCCAAATCATCCATTTTGTTGGATTTTGTTGGGGGATTTTCCATGAAATATATAACCATAAATAAATAATCCATCCAGCTACTAGGGTACCCCCATGACTATGGAAACCCGCATATCCCCAACGCATGCTGTTTTTTTTTCGGCCAGGCAAATGCGGGGGAAAGCTGAATTTGAAGGATTTCGCTGAGTATTACATGACCCTGGGCACCAACAAACTCATCGAAAACCTTTTCGGACATGTGGAGATAAGCAAGTACAAGGAGGAGTTGACCAACACAAATGACAACGTTTTAAATGAGGTTGTAAACCCAATACTTCGTAACTACATGTAACTACCCAATATGTAGTAATTGTTGGTTTTAAAGATGGTTTTGGTGTGTTTTGGTATGATGTTGAAAAGCCACGAAATGGTATCGATATGACCCAAATGAGTGACCCAGTTAGCCTCTCGTTGTTTTAACGTAGGTCCGTAGCTATGGAAAATCATCATCTTTACGGTGAGTCATCATGTTTATGGGATGTTTATGATCATTTATATCATATCTATATATCATCTTTTCATTTTGGGCCATGGCGTCCATTGGCTTCCAGTTTGCATCCAGTTTTTTCCATGGGGCATCCCCAACTCCTTCAAGTGATTGGGGAAACCAACGGCGATGAGGGTCCTGGGGGCGTTCAAAAAAAGGGGGATCGGATTGTCCGTTAATAGATCATCATTGAAATGGCTATGGATCAATACCTATGAAAATACCATTTTTAGTGGGATGAACATCCATAAATCCCAGCTATTTTGATGTGAACTACAGGGGTACAAGGTTTTGACCCACTGCCAAATCATGATTCTCAATATCCCACTATAGTTGATTAATATTGTATAGTTAAATAGTTGATTACTATACAATATCCATTAATATTCCATTAATATATTAAATTACTATTCCATTATTATGAATCCATTGAAATATCCCCATTCATAGATTAATTACTAGATATATCCCCATCCATTCATATCGATTCAACCACCGGGATGGATGATGGATGGGATTTCCAAGGATCACGGCCAGCATGAACAAACCGGACGACCCGGCCTCCCGCTCCCTGCACGCCCACGGCGACGCGGTGCACGTGGGGATGAAGAGCCGGGCCTACTTCGGGGACAGCTGCGCGGATGGCAACTTCCAACAGGCGGAGTACATGAAGGCCATGGGGCCATGGGGCTATGGGGCTATGGTTGGGCAAATTGCCTTGGTTGAAAAATGAAAATTCTGAAACAACTGAGGGAAATTCATCAGAAACACAGCGCCGAGTTGATCGGCTTGATGTATGGGATTTGTTGATGGGATTTTTGATGTGGTTATAAACAAATACACATCCCATAAACATAGTATTTTTTTTATAAAATCCCATGATACAAATCCGTTGTTGGTTATCATGGGAATATCGTGGGAATGCCACATATCACCCACTTCTGGGCGCAGTTGGGAATATGGCCCCTGGAGCTGCGGCTATCCACTGAAAACTGAGTCACTGAATTGGTTTTTTGTAGAGAAAATCTGAATTACCATGAAAATGACTCAGTAAACATATTTTTTCAAAATTAGAGAGTCAATAAAACATTAGGAAACATTGGTTTCATTGACTCAGTAACTAAAACATAATAAAACTATAGGAAACCAATATGGTTTTTACCATCAAAATTAGAGCTTTCATGTAAACAATTCCATGAAATTGTCCATTAAACCAATCCAATGAATGGGGGACAGGACAATGGTTTTGAAGTTTGAGGCCATTTATCGAGAAAAACATGAATTTTACCTGCAAAATTGGTTATTTTTTACCATTAGGATCCATGAGGAGCATTGGAATTTGCCATCCGATTAAATCAAGCATTAGTGGATACTGCTTTGTCCCAAAATCTAGGATTGACCAAGTCACAGAAAGTGCTGGTGAAATTGGTGAACTTTTGGCCAACAAAAAAAAATGGTACGATTCATTTCGAAATGGATTAGATGATTAGCCATGAATGAAACTCACCATTTCTTGTGGACAAATCACCTGATGGTTACCCCCCCTTCACCGAGGTTTTTCAGAAAGTCGGTGGTAGACCCCCCTGGTTTCTGCAACCGAGTCATTTTGGGCATCCCAGGAACCGGCGAGGTCATGAAACAAAAAACATGTGGAGCAAGTGGCATTTAACATCACTTAACCAATTTTTCTATCATCCACTTTTTTTTACCCTCTGGTTATGACTAACATAGCCATGGAAAATCACCATGCTATTAAGAACGGTAAACCATCTATTTCTATGGACCATGGCTTCCATGGCTATGTTAAATAACCAGATTGTATTTTTCTTGACCTCTTTTGTCCACCTCCTTTTCGTTGTACAGTCAATGGCACTGCATTTCTTCTCCAAGATTTAAGGATCACTCCCGTGAGAGACAGAATCTTACAGATGGTGGTTTCCTAAAATAGGGTACCCAAATTCTCATCCTAAACCTTTAATGGGATCCATGAAAGAAACCAACCATTTTGATCCATTTTGCCATTTTCCTATGACCAGATGACCTTTTCGGCCGGCCCCATCCGGCCCCATCCGTCCCCCATCCGTCCCGATCCGTTGCTAGGTGAATTGGATGGGTAAACGCTTGAGCTACACCGTGGACCTTTCCCAGGCGACTGGGATGTTCACCATTGACATGTCTACGGTTAATGGAAATATTTAACAGGCTGGAATCATGGAGATGTCATATAGTAAACCCATGGTAAATCACCATGCTATTAATGGGTAAATCCACTATTTGAATGGCCATTTTCAAGTTCGCAAACTGTTGGTGGTGACTGGAACATAAATGGATTATGACTTTCCAGAAACAGTTGGGAATGGAATAATCATCCCAACTGACGATTCGTCATTTTTTTCCGAGGGGTAAATCAGATTATGATTGTATATCTATGACCTATACAGCACAAAAAATAGGGTCCTATCTGAAAATAGGCCCCAGGTATACCCCCATGGTCATTTTATGGGATAAATGATAGCCAACAATCAAGTTCGTAGCCTATTTCAGACAAGCCCAAACAAAAAACGCTTGACAGGGATCTGATGATGGAAGGCCCCAAAAAAGCGATCACAAGGAATAGAGGTTGAGGTTTTCGCCAATGTTTTTTGTCCAATTCATGGGCTTGGATGGATCTGGGTAAATTTCATCACGACCTCACTGTTCTCCCGAACCCTGGAATCATGGTTAGTAATGTTGGCTGCCTAATAGTAATTACCCCCCCCATTTTTTTGGGGGGGGGTCAACCTTCCTATAGTAATTTTTGGGAATCTATAGCTGGGATCATGATATGTATCTGATAGATTCTCGAGTGGCGAAGAGATTGGCGAAGAGTTGGCAAGGCGGAAGTGGACATGGAAGTGGGGGCAGAGGTGGTGGAGGCGAAGGAGGAGGACGAGGAGGAGGAGAAGAAGGAGAAGAAGGAGAAGGAGAAGGAGAAGGAGAAGGAGGACAACAAAATTGGAGTTGCGGAAAAAAGTTTCCACTATTGCCATGCCTGGTGCAGGTTTGTTATTGCTAATCTGGGGCTTGCAAAGGGGGTACCCTTTGTGGACCTGTTTTCTTCAATTTTTATATAAGAATTTAATAAGGAAATCACCTGTTTTGGAGTGGGATCAGATTTCTGGAATCTAGGCTTTTGCTAATCAAAAGTGAAGGCTTCTTTGAAAAGGATTTGCTTTACTTAACTCTTTTGGCAATACTAAAAGTGAATGGAGCTAATTGACTTTTAGTATTGGAGAAAAAATTGGAGTTGGGAAAAAAGTTTCCACTATTGCCATGTTGGGTCCACTATTGGCCATGCCCTCTGGACAAGGTCTGAACATGACTCTTTTGGCAATACTAAAAGTAAATGGAGCTAATTGACTTTTAGTATTGGAGAAAAATTGGAGTTGCGGAAAAATGTTTCTACCATTGACAAGATATCACTATTGGTCAGACAACATTAAGGGGAATCATCCCCAAATGGCCGAACTATTCAGGTTAGTGAAATATTATAATTTACCCAGATGGATCATCGGATTGTCTACCGGGTATCTAAGATTGGCCACCATCGAGGGAGTGATGACATGGCAGCGGAAACCAACCACTTGCAGCTGATTTTTACAGGTGAGTGATGACATGGCAGCGGAAACCAACCACTTGCGGCTGATTTTTACAGGTAGCTACGGGCAATAGGGTTTTCCCATTGCCATGCTTGAGCCAGCGGGTGGGAAACCGTACCAGCGTTTTGCCTTTTTTTTTTTCTGTGATGTTGTCCAGCTTTTTTTTTGGGAGGGATTTGGCGGGGGGGGATTATGTGAGGGGTGGGAGGGGGGCGTAATAATGTTTTGTCGATTGGGTTGTAATTCTTTTCAGACGCTCTTGATGGTATGCTCTTAACTTATTCTTAGCACTTCCCACACGCTCTGGATGCTATGCTCTCAACTTTTTCATGTAAGTTCCAGCACGCTCTTGATGCGATGCTCTTAACATTATCTTAAATCTTCCCAAACTCACTCTGGATCCTACAATCCATCCTACACTCTTAATATTATCTTGCACTCTCCACACATCTCCACACGCTCTTGATGCTACACTCTTAACATTATCTTAGAATTTTCCAAACGCTGTGGATGCTACGCTCTGAATATGATCTTTGCACTTTCCCACACGCTCTTGATGCTATGCTCTCAACATTATCTTAGCACTTTCCACACGCTCTTGATGCTACGCTCTAAACTTTTACATGTAAATTCCAGCACGTTTTGATGCTACGCTCTTGACATTACCCTTGCCCTTTCCACACGCTCTTGAAGTTACTCTCTTGCCATTATCTTAGCACTTTCCACAGACTCCAAACTTTTACATGTAAATTCCAGCACGTTTTGATGCTACGCACTTGACACTACCTTTGCGCTTTCCACACGCTCTTGGTGCTACGCTCTCAACATTATCTAATAAGCACTTTCCACACGCTCTTGATGCAGTTCCAACCCGAACTTCCGAAACGCTCTTGATGCTACATCTTTCCATAGGTCACAACAGCTCCCCCAAAAAAGTCCGGAAAATCGTCACGCCCCCATCACCTGGCCCACAGTTTTTCCAAGGTCCAATGTCCATGCATTGTTGCATTTGCAACCATATTTTCAATCTGCTAAAATTTGACTCAATCAGAAAGGCCAGCCTTTATTGACCAGCAGTTGACATTAATTATATCATTATATAGCTCATTATAGCTCATTTTTAACCGTTGCTCTGTGGCATCTACCCGGCTAATCAAACATGGCTGGGCAATTCCCGATCTTTTCCTCAGAGGTGAACTGCGGATGCAATGCGGCGCTTTACCTTGTCTCGATGGGATATTCTGAAAAGGCCCGGAAAAAAACCGAGGGGAAGTTGGGTGCAACGGCGGGATTGCAGTCGATGGTTTTGCTTGCCACTTTGGTTGTGAACATATTAACAATTACACACATGTAGATAAGTAAATAATGGCAAATAGATAGATAGGTAGGTCAGTGCGAACCATTTGATGTTGGGAAAAAACAATATTTGACCCAGACCTAAATCGGTAGTCAAACACGGTAGTCCCCTTCAGAGGCTCAAAGGGTTGACATGTTTTTTTTCCAGTTTTTGTTGCTGGTGTCTTTGTTGCTCTCATGGCTTGAACGATCAAAAATTGTGCTGCGACGTCATGTGAGGTAGTATCGGGTGATGTCTGTGGATGCGTATGTATGTAAATGATCAAATGCACAGTGTATGTCAATCTGCATGAAACCATATGAATGTGCATGAATGTGTATGACTATGACTATGATGATGTATATCATATGAATGTAATTATATATATATTATATAATCTAGATGCAAATCCACTAAAGTTGCCCACCAGTGACACTGCAACATAGTTCTACATTTTAGTCTTGCTGGTTGAACCGAACTATTAATCAAACGTGACAATGGAACATTGTGTTTTAATGGAGACATCATCTGTAACTGGGGAATTTCCCATTGCTATTTTTGACTACCGGAGGGTATTCTTGCTAGTTTAGTTCCCAATGCGTCTCTGGTCATATTTTCATATTTCTGCTTCGCCACTTTGATTGGCGACATTTGGTAGGTTCTTGTCTTACTTCTCACAGGGTACATCCTTGTTTCAAAACCAATTGCATATCATCCAGGCTTGCTGGATCTTGCTGGTATTTCGTTGGGTTGAAAACTCATTCATTTTTGTGATATTCCATTCTGACTTGGGGTTACTTAACATACATGACAGCTATGACAAGCCGTTAACCTCACAAAGTTGGGATGATCTCATCGGAAGAGCATCATCAAATTCTCCCAAAGATGGCTAATCTGAGATGGGGTAGCTATTACTCAGATTGGCGAAGTATTATGACTTATCCAGAACATTCCAGAACTATGGAAAGAGAACTCCGATTCTCTTATACTTCATTACTTTTCAACAATGTTTGGAGGCTGTAGATGAGTCATGGTAATTTTTCAAGCAACCTGATACCAGAGGTCAACTTTTCCAAGGTCTTGCCGTCTTGAGGCTTGCAGCTTTTCGTACGGACAATGTGCAGCGACATCAACACGAAACCAACATACACGATGTTTAGAAAGCCTCCTGTTGGTGGCCCCGGAAAGGAATTTTTGTTTGTTTCTGATTTGTTTTTGTTTTGTGAATGGGTAGAGTCGGTATAGTTCAGCCAGATCTAAATAAATACAATCGGATATTGATAGCTAAACACTTTGCATATCTTTGCATGTTTTCCTTTGGTAGCAATGGAGGTGCGTTTGCTGGCATCGGGGGAACCCGTCGCATCTCTTCCTGATGATGATTTCGAAGGAAAAACTTCCAGGGCTGTGAAGCAAAAGTTGGCAGCGCAAGTTGGTGTCAGCCGATTCAGACAGCGACTTTTCTGGGAAGATGGCTCTGAGATTCTGAATGATCATGTTTTTGCTGCAGGGTTTGTGATGCTGCAGCTGGTGAGACTCGAATACTGGCCAGCAGATGGTGAAGAGGACCGAAAGATGATGCGGGCCTCCAATGCTGGTGATTCAGCGGCACTTGAGGAGTTGCTTCAACAACCTCGGGACCCGAATGTTACAGATGACAGTGGCGACATGCCATTGCACCATGCCGCTCGTGGGGGACATCTTGAGCCCATTCGGCTGTTGCTTGAGGCAGGCGCTGACATCAATTCAAAAGGGCAAGTGGGGAAGATGCCTATCCATGTTGCGGCTTCTCAGGGTCATGCTGATGCGGTGCGCTTGCTAGTGGATCGTAGTGCACAGAAAGATCAACCTGACAACAATGGCGCAACACCCGCACTCTACGCGGTTTCACGGGGACATCTGGAAATTCTCCAGTTTCTGGCGGAAGTTGGGGCAGACATAGATCATGCCATGGATCAGGGGGCCACCGCCTTGTGGTTAGCGGCAGGTCGTGGACATCTGGAAATTGTTCGCTGGTTAGTGGAAGCTGGTGCCAACAAGGATCACCCTTTGACGGATACTGCAGCAACCCCATTGCACAGTGCAGCACTAAATGGCCATCTCGACATTGTGCGCTTGCTGGTTGACGCTGGTGCCAACAAGGATGACCCAACGGATACTGGAATAACTCCATTGCACAGTGCAGCTCAGAAGGGCAATCTTGACATTGTGCGCTTGCTGGTTGACGCTGGTGCCAACAAGGATCACCCTTTGACGGATACTGCAGCAACCCCGTTGCACAGTGCAGCACTAAATGGCCATCTCGACATTGTGCGCTTGCTGGTTGACGCTGGTGCCAACAAGGATCACCCGACGGATGAGGGAATAACCCCATTGCACGGTGCAGCACACAATGGCCATCTCGACATTGTGCGCTTGCTGGTTGAAGCTGGTGCTAACAAGGATCAGCAAGCTGATGATGGTGCGACCCCATTGCACATGGCAGCTGAGGAGGGCCATCTTGAGGTTGTCCGCCTTCTAGTTAAGTCTGGTGCAGGCTGTGATGCGAACACTTCTCATGGAGAAACTGCTGGGGATTTAGCATTAAGGTTCGGTCATGAGGACGTTTACCGCTTCCTAACTGAGTTTGGTGCAACACCACCTCCAGGCAAAGTCCGGAGGGTCGGTGAACGTTGACAGCATTGAGAAAGCAAAGAGCTGCAGCATTCCGACGACAGTTTCATGCCGCCTTGCCAGTCTTTGCAAACATTGAGCTCATCGTTTTAGGTGGTCAAAACTCCTCCTTCTGGATGGTAAACGGTAAACCTAGCATTTTCGTTGGTTAGTGGAAAATGGAGATATTTGGTATCTAAATGTATTTAACCTAATTTGGTATTTAAATGTATTTAACCCAAATTTCGGGACTTTACCCATCAAAACCAGGCATTGAACAGTCAACAACGGTTATTTAAACAATGAGCAATGAAAAGCATGAAACCTTGGCGACATGGTTTCTGGGTGTCTTAGGAGTCACCTATTCAAGGACACACCCATAAGAGTTTATCCAAAAATGGTCGGCATAATCCAAACTTGCATTTTTAATTGAAACAATGATGATAAGGAGTTAGTGGCTTTCTGTTTACAGGCTCAATCGGACACTACGACACAAGATGCCTCCGTTGGGCCAATGCAGTTCCCCGAAATCGGACTACCCATACAGTTTCACCATATTAGAGCTATGGTATGTGGGTTGGATTCCGATTCTCGTTCTTCCAGTTTGATGTTTCCCAACATGTTTTATTGGGTTTACCCTCATGAAACATGGCAATGTGGCAATGGATAGATATTCCCATGGATTCTCCAGCTTTCCATGGTGGATTTTCCCGTAGGTCGGTGGCTGCAGCGATTATTACTGCGATGCCATGAGTGTTTGCGACGTCCAGTGTGAACCGAAGAACCGAAGCGGAGAAGGGATGGGACTTTGATGATTTTGATGCTGGGTGACCATTTGGAATATCATCCCTGATAGAAACTATTATAAATGGATGCAATATAGTATATATTATAAATGGATGCAATAATGATAGTAACTGCTGATAAATGGGAATATAGTCGGAATATAATGGGAATATAATTTATGATAATAATGAATAGTATAATGGGACAAATATAGTAATTATAATGGGAATATAATGATAGTAACTACTGATAGCAACTGGTTAGTAACTTAGTATATAATTGGAATATACTATCTTTTGGGTTCGAGAATGTTTAAGATAATAATTGGTTGGTAATATATCAGTGGAATATCATCCCTTATCATCCAAGTTAGTGGCCCTTCCCAGTGTTAAAACATGCGTATGTTCAAAGAATTGCTAGACTAGACGTTATCACCATAAAAAAGGGATGTATAAACCATTTTTATCCATTTTTAACTTTAGAGTTTTTTCAAGTTTAAACCGAAACTCATGTCTTAAATGGTTTAACAGGGTTTAACTGTTTCAAAAATTATGATCATTTTGAACTCCCACAGTTTTTTCACCATCCGTTTGTTGCATCGTAGCCGCTACGCTGTTCCTTCGCCCCGGGTTGAACGTACTACGGTGAACCTACGGTCCACACCATGTGTCTTGGTCCAATGGGGATATCCCATAGCTGGATGGTTTTTTGATGAAAATTCCTGTTTACCCTCTGGTAATTTAACATAGCTATTGAAAATGGCCATTTATAGTGGATTTACCCATTAAAAATGGTGATTTTCCATGGTTATGTTAGTTTACCGGAGGGTATCCCAATTCCAGGAAATCTCCATATAATTAATATATGTTTGAGTGTTTGAACTCCAATCTAAACCACTCTTGATCGGCATTTTGTGTATATGTATGTGTATCGGTATATGTATTTGTACACAAGAGTATATCTATATAAATAGACATATATTGAGAATACGCAAACCGCAAACTCCTAAACCACTCTTGATCCTTATATGGCATTTTCGGTATGTGTATCGGTATATGTATTTGTACACAAAAGTATAAACATATATTGAGAGTATGCAAACTACAGGAAAAACAATTTCTAACACTTACGTGACAAATATGTGCATATTATACATATATATATATGGATGAGTATACCCTAATGGAAGATATTGAGAGTGTGTAAGCGTCAATATGAACAACTTTTAACCATTATATTGAAAACAACTTGGTGTATATGTATAGGTATGCCCCCATAGAAAGGTCTCCGGAGTATGTACACTCCAATATCAACCACTCTTAACCCTACCTTGTGCATATATATAGATATACATAATCATATAAATATGTATATATTATACATATATATATATATACATATGTATATATACATATGTATATGTATATATATAAAAAAAAAGGAATCCCCAAACCCTGTAGAATTTCCCAAGATGTTTGATCTTTGGAGCCCAAAGTTTCTTTTTTCAGACTCCGAGGTGCAGAAATTGACCTCATGGAAGCGAATGTGCCACGGGGACGGGTGAGATTCGAAGCAACGATTGAATGGTACTGAGACCAGCAAAGATGGGATCCCTCAACATCAACATGTTGATATTTTTCACATATATATATACATGGCTATGTTATATTTTTTGTATTTATGTGCGCACAAAACATATATGTACATATCTTTGTATTTATGTGCACGACATATTTATTTTTTCACCAGGATAGGATGGCAACGGGAAGATGTGATTTAAGCAACACTGGGGATACACAAAGTGAAAGTCACCAAGGGTTTCTATGGCCAAAATTCCTAGTTATCACCTGTATAGGCTGGGAAGTGTTTTGAGATTTACACTAAACCCATGGTTTACCGTGGTTTACCTTCAACAATCTATATAAAGTTTTCCAATTTGAGGGTGGGTCAAAACCTATGAAGATCCACAACTACCAGCGACATAGATTGAAGTGAACACCAGGGCACCGTTCGCTCTTGGGATATCATTTTATTTGAACCCCAATATCACGACAGTCACGTTACATCTGCATAGTAACTACAGGATGATAATTACAGGATGATGTTCGCCTTTTTGAGTGACAATTGTCCAAGAAACGCAAGAAACCATATGTATATATATATATATTATATATATACACATGTCACATATACATATAGACAGGTATATAATATATACGTATGAAGGGACTATGTACCCATGCTAAAACAAACACCAATTTCTTGACTGCCTGCTGTCATTCCTATTTTTGTTTTGCTACGCAAACATCTGAGATGTTCAAACCCATCTATCATACTATCTACCCATCTCTCTAATAGGAAAACAATATACAATCAAACAAATCAATCAACCACTATATATATATATGTATATGATTATATATTAGTATACATACATACATCCATACATACCTACCTACCTACCTACCTAGTACGTACATACCTACATACCGACCTACAATATTTATACACTCTATATCTGTACCCTCTGGTAATTTGTTACGTAGCTATTGGATAGCTGGCCCAGTCGAAATCGTGGATTTTTCATGATTTACCCATTAATAGCATGGTGATTTTCCATAGCTATGTTAGTTTACCAGAGGGTATATACATTATATCTATCCGCCCCAGAACCGCGCCTGGCACACTACGCTGCACGATGGCATCAAACCATGGGATCCAAAGGTGGGCGTTTTCCCCGCGGGCCCCAGGGGTGCGGAAATGGTAGCTGTGTCAAAATGCTGGGTTTTTTTATAGGAAACATGATGAAAAACCTATAAAAATCCATGAAAAACCCATGATAAATCCATGATAAAGCCATGAAAAACCCATGATAAAGCCATGATAAAGCCATGATAAGCCTATGATCCTAAAATGGAGGTACGGAATTGTACCATATGTTTGGCCATATTTTGGGGGGATATCCCCTGAAATTTAGCTCTTATATAGGCCTTATATATGGTAGGTACCTCCATTTTAGGATCCTGAAATTCCCATTGATTATAGGAAACATGATGATAGACCATGATAAACCCATGATAAACCTATGAGATCTAGGGGCCATGGCTAGCCTGTTTTCAGACGCCTACCCATTTGGGGGTCATTTTGCATATGTTTCACATCAGCCTACATAGGGGGTAAAGCATGGTGTGAGTTTGACCTGTCTAATGTATATTTTGTATAGCCAAGTGATCACATGCCCCCGATGACATTTGGCTTTAGGGCCCTTGAGTCATACCGCGCTGCCGTGGTAAAAGTTGGGCATTTGACGATCCCGTTTCCAATTCATATTGGTAGCGGAGCGGGTGACGACCCGCATCCGGTGGTACGTCAGTGACCCAGGGAACCCTTTGTGAATTTGAGTCTGGTAACTTTGGGAATCAACTGAACTTCGAGTGTGTCGTGGTTCGGGAATCTGTCTGACCCTGACCAGGGCAGACACTTGTTAACGTTTTTCCTTGTTCGACTCCGAACGGAGCGAGCATCATGTCGATCAATGGCCTTCGTTTCAATCAGGAACGCCATTCGTCGGCACCACTTGAGACGAAGAGTGGATCATACATCTATGCAGGTGATGCGGCGAACTTTCATGATTGGCAGTTCAGGACTCTCCTTCGGATTCGTCTTTATGAGCAACAATTGGAGGAGGAGACAAGTAAGCCTGCGGATCCCGTTGGGACCACAGCAACAGAGCCTGCCGCAGAAGATGCAGATGAGTATGCTACTTTTCCAGATTTGTCGGGTGCTACTCAAGCAGCCCAGCCTACATCAGCAGTCTCGACTCCGAAGTCTGGAGCGAGCCGAAAATCCTCGAAGTCCGGCAAGCAGAAGACAGACATTGATCGTGGACCATTGGTTAACAAGGTGATTGAAGGACTGAGAGGAGATGCTTTCTCAATAGCTAGGGATCTTGGACTTGAAGTGTTGTCCAAACCTGGTGGCCTTGTGAAACTTGTGGGTGAGATCAAATCCCATGTGTTCCCAAGAGCCCGTGAGGAAGCCAAGGAATTATTTCGAGCAGGACAGAAGCAAGGTGGTCCTTTGTCTCGCCAGCCAGGCGAACCCATGCTTTCCTATGTTCAGAGGAGACGACGTTGGTGGCACATGCTTTGCGAGTTGGATGACACAATGGTGTTTTCGGACAGCTTGAGGACAGAGTTGATGTTGGAGTTGAGTGGGCTCAATCGACAGGAGATCCTCGTTGTGAAGGCCTGTGCAGACACTAAGGATTTTGAAGGTGTTGGCAAGGTGCTGATCGAGAACTACAGTGGCACTCACTTGCGAGAAGGGTCACGATCCTGGACAGGACGTGGCAATCCTCAACAGCATGGCAAGTCGTCAGGCAAGGGTTATGGCAAAGGCAAACCTTCTTCGAAGGGATCGTATTCCCAAGCAGCCTATGCAGCCTACCCCGATGATGGGGAGGAACATGCAGAATCTTGGGATGAAGCTGTGGATCAATCCTGGGAGGATGATTCATATGTTGGCATGCTTGGTGACATTGCAGAAGAGGAGCCAGGAAACCTAGAAGGTGACAACGAATTTGATTACTTTGACGACGTCGATGAGTACGAAGCAGTTGCATTGAACAGCTTGCTTGAAGTTGAAGGTGCAGAAGATGATCGACAAGCAGGAGACGCTATCCAGCTACAACTCGCTGCTTTCACCGCAATGGGGAAAGCAGGTGGCAGGGGAAAATCCTTCGGGAAGCCCAAAGGAAAGGGGAAAGGAAAGATCGTGAAGTCCAACCTCACGATCGATCAGAGGAGACGGAAGCTCACAGAACTGAAGTCGAAGAGCAAATGTTTGAGATGCGGAGTCATAGGGCACTGGGCCGGTGACCCGGAATGTAAATTCCCGGGGTCGAAAGCCGGAGCCCCTGGAAAGTCAGCCCCAAAGCCCGCAGCTCACTTTGCCGACATGAGCGATTCTTCAGATGACGATGGTGTGACTTTGACAGCTTCACCTGATCGTGACAGAGATGCAGTTGCTATGATGGCAGTTCGACAAGCGAAGCCTAGCAGCAGACCTTCACGTGCAGCAGCATCAGCAGCAACGTTGGCTTGATTTCCCGGGATCTCGATGTTACAATGAGACCCGAGGACCATGGGTGCATCTTTCCTGTTGGACAGTTCAAGGGTTTGTCTTTTTGGAATGTGTTGTTTGAACAGACAGGGTACTATCATCATGCCAAGAAACATACCCCCAAGAGTCCATACTATGTCACATGGTTGAATTGGGTTGACAAGTACTTTGTGGTTGGTGCTGATGGGATTCACTTGCGCGAAGTCCCTGTTGAGCATGTCGAGCACCGAGATTTGTTGGTGGCTCGGGGAACTGGCAGAAAGAAACCCCCAAATCCTCCTTTGCCGAACAAGTGTCAGGAATGTCGTGAGTTTACAAAACAAGGTTCTACGGGGTACACCATCAGGAAGACCTGTCTTGTGTGCGGTCATTCCGAAACAACAAGGCGTGACATGGTACCGTTGATGTCCCCTGAGAATTGCCCTCATGATGACACCGATTTTAGGGGATCCAGCAAATCAACACACCGTACTTTCTGCAAGAAGTGTTGCACGTTCATTGATGAAGCTCCTATGCAGATTCGTAAGGAGCGTGTTGCAATTGCCAAGAAGGTTGAAACAGCATCAGTTCGAGCAGTCCCCATTGTTGAATCATTGGTTGAAGAATCGGATGGATTGAATCCAGTCCAGTTGGAAGAGTTGTTGCCCCTGTTTGCCACTCTTGTTACCGAAACCTGTCAATCTGAGGTCATGACCCGTGCACGTCTACATGAACTACTTCACCAAGCCATCAATGACGTAACAGAGGAAGAGGACAGTTTTTCTTTTGTGAATGAAGATGGGCACGGCGACCCCTCGGGCAGGGAGTTAGCTGGGTACGTTGGCATTTGTTTGCATGGAAGTGACACTCAATACCCTCAAGACTTGGTTTACATGAACTATGAAACTATTGACATTGCCAAGTCACCCCATGTTTTTGCAGTATTGGATGAAGGTTGCAACAGCACTTGTCATAGCAAAGCCTGGGCAGTCGATGCAGAAGCACGACTGGCCCGATTGGGTTACAGTATGCCATTGAAGGATGACGGTTGTAAGAGTTTTGCTGGTCTGGGAAGTGGTAGTACCAAGACCGAAGGTGTGAGATCTATTCCTTTTTCGCTGCTGCTTCCAGACGGGAACATGCATGGGGAGTTGGATTCATATCAATTGTCAACAGGCAACAGCCCATTGCTTCTTTCATTGCATGCGCAAACCAAGTTAGGCCTAGTGAAGGACCTAGCAAAAGGGGTGATTTCCATCAAAGATCAACCATTGAATATCAAGAGATGTTCCAAATCAGGTTTACTTGTGATGAACTTGACTGAAGGATTGACCAACATCAACAACACACCGTCGGATGAACTTCCCCAAATCCCGAAGTGTCACAGAAAGTACAACATCGCATACACAGCATCCACATCGGAAGTTGCCATGGCTGACCATGACATGTGTGGTTTTCATTCGAGGGACTACGACATCTTGCAGACGAAGTTGAATGAAGAACTGCGCAGTGACAGGAAGGTGATCATCATGACTCGTGGACGTAGATTTCAACAACATGCGTGCAGAACCAGCAGGAGCACTTTGAGCATCAACTGTGAGGACATTAACGATCCTGATCAGGACGTTAATCTCAGGTCGCATGTGAGTTGGCATCATGGAATCCTTGAGACTATGAGCAAAGTAGACAGGTTCATCCAACATCTCAACAACATCCTCCAGTTCGTCACACAGCAGGAAGCCGACAGTAAGGTGCTGGTGGACTTGGAGTGCAAGTCAGGTCGCCACAGGTCAGTGGGACAAGGATTTGCTGCCTACAGGTGTCTCAAAGTCCTTGGTTATGACGTTGTTCTCATTCATGCATCATCCTGGATGTGGGGAGAGATGCGTTGTGGTGGAGTTTGTCATGGATGTAAGGACATGGCTGCGAGCTTGGGACAAATTCGACATTTGATCCCGAACATGTCAAGGTTGGCACGATCACGAGGCAATGTGGCTTCAAGCCGTGACGTGCGCGATGCTCCAGCCGATGATGTTTCAGGTGGACATTCATCTCATCCTACATCAGATCACCCCACTGCAGGACATCCTACATCAGATCAGCTTGATGAGATTCGACGTTTGGTACAAGGGCTTGCAACAGATGTTGGACATCTTAGGACAGAACAGGTTGAGATCAAAAGGATGGCCGAGACCGGAAGGAGATCAAGGAGTCCATTGCGTCGACGGAGATTGCCGACGCCACCGTCGCCACCAGCAAGGCGCAGAAGATCACCAAGTTTTCGTCGCAAGTTACCTCCTTGGAGACATGCACAAGCATCCAGGGGAAGAAGTCCATCGCCGAGGCCACTATCTGCGAGGCCAGCTCCCAGGAGCCCAGATCATCCTCCACCGCACATTTCGGACGTGCCAGGGACCGATGACGGATCCCGATCTTCAGGGGCCATGGATGGACCTCGAACTTCAACGTTGCCACAACGATCTCGAGAGCCTCCCAATGATCGCGATGAACTTGAGCGACTGATCCGAAACAATTTGGCATCAGATGGACCGTTTGACAACAAGAACGTGTCAGTGAAGACATTGGACGGCGAGCTCCTTAGCGAAGTTGTGTCTTTTTGC